CAGAGTCGTCGGGATGAGCAAGGTAACAGAAACTTAATCAAAGACTAAATCTACATTTCAATCCAAATTCTTTAAGCATATATGTTCTTTTAATATAGGTATTTTTTTGCATTTTGTATCAGGATGTGGAAATTTCCAATGCACTGTAAAGTATAGAGTTATGATCACTTGTAAAACTGAATAACAAAGATCTATAGATCTCTTTCTATCTAAAAATTGACAGCCTGTAATAAATTATTTAATCTTTAGGAAACATGGAGATAACGAATATTGTTATCGTTTAAAAATGTGTTTCAATACAGATCTATACAGAAAGGAGTCTAACATTTTTAATGTTTTGCTGAGCGGGCATAAAAAAATCGATGTTAGACCGCTGAGTGAGATGTTGGATCGCTCGGATAGATGTTGGACCGTTTACGTCACAGAATTGGCGGAGCTTAATCTCATTTTCATTCTTTGGTGTTTTAAAATAGTGACAGATCTAATGTTACATTACGGAATATAGTACAAAATACATGTATATCAAAAAATATAAATTAAAATGAAAGGTATAACAAAACATTTATTGACAGAGTTCTCGGGCAAAATGCGTTTCGTAGGACCCTCGAACCAAACTGTCTGCCTGAGGCCTAACGGCCTCAGGCAGACAGTTTGGTTCTTGGGTCCGACAAAACGAATGTTGTCCCCGAACTTAGTCAATAAATGTATAGTATTTAAGCAAAAAAAAAAATCCAATCAAACAAAATAAAAATCAGACGGAGAGAAAATACGGACCTAAAAACATCGAAGATGGATCAGGTACCATGTAGGAGGGAGTCTCCCCGGCTGACTGTTAACAAATGTTGTGTAATAATCGAGAAAAACGGAAAAATCAGATAACATATAATACAAGGGAGACATCACCAATTTTCAGGTCTGAGTAGGGTTGTCATCCGAGGGCGCTTGCTCAGACCTGATAATTGGTGATGCCTCTTCGTTCTAAATAGTCCATAATAGTTTTAATATCCTGAAGAATATATAATTTTCAATAAGATAGAGTTGAAAATAGTAATAAAACCCTCTTGTTTTCTTCTACTATGCTCCGATTCCATACTTCCAAAATATGTCAGCAGACAACTTTGACGTCATCGTTAGAATTTATTGTTTACCGATCTAATATAATTAGCAATTGTACTTATGAATAGGAGTTATCTCGCTTGAATCACTGAAGTTTCATTCAAATGGCGACAACACAAGTGTAACCCTGCATGCTCGCTTACGCTATTCGTTTGTCATCTGAAGGAAGATAACAGTTGTCACCCTGCGCGTGAGGGAGACATCACGAGTTGTCTCCCTGCACGTGACCTGCCCTAAACCAATCAGATTGACTGTATAATTCTGAAGGATATATAATGATAAATTGTATTGGCTGACAATGGTCTTGTTTTGACCAAACGACTTTAAATGATGACTTTGAAAGAGAATGTTAATATTCATTTTTCATTAACTTGTTTGTCATTTGATTTCCTTGTTTTAAGAAGTTGTAAAGCTTTTGCATTATTGAAATACAACAATTTTAAGTACTAGTATTATATTTGATTTAATATTTGATAGTATTTCCTATTCCAGTTTAGTCATTCCCAGCAGGGCACATATATTGCAATTGTATTTCGTGAACTTTTAAAACATGCTTGAGCATTTTTTGTTGGTACATGTGTAAATGTAATAAAGAAATATTTTGATTCGTGGACTACCTTAAATCAAATTAGGCGAAGCTTATAATATATTTCATTTTGATGCTCGGATCTAAAATCAAAGTAGTCTTTAAAATTCTTGAAACCCATCACTGTATTTTTTTTCTTCATTGCATCTTATATCTTGAAATTGCAAAGCACCTGCATGTTTCAATTAAAGTCTCCTCTGGGCTAATATTTTGGTCAAAGTAACCATAGCATTTTTAGTTAATGCAAAGGTATATGTACTATATTTGTACTACAGCTTAAATTAACCATCTTTAAGACAATCATTTACCATGTAAATGTGAGCATTATGGCCAATAGATACCTGATGTTGTTACATTTATATGCAGCTTAACCGATTCACTACTCTCCAGGAGGTGAAAAGACTGAATGAAGCGGGAAACATCCCCAGAAATCTAAACATGTCGGTTAAAAAGGACACAGTTACTGTAGCCAATGGTGGATACACCATTCTCCGTATACATGCCACTAATCCAGGTAGGATAGGTCAATTAATTTTTAATGTTTTCAAGATATGTAGGGTATTAATTAATCATGTACATGTATAACAAATGCACATGCCATCTTGTTGGTTTTATCTTGTTGTCCTATTTTCCCTAAGGTTTCTGGTTCTTTCATTGCCATGTTGATTTCCACTCCGAGATAGGAATGGGTGTAATTCTACAAGTTGGAGAGATAAATCAGATGCCAAAACCACCGTATAATTTTCCTAAATGTGGTAACTGGAAGTTTACGACTCCTATAGAAGAAGAAACAGGATGCCCTGCCAATAGTGCCGCAGGTCTACAACTCGAGCCAATGGCTGTACTGTTTGTAACTTATGTAGCCCTGTTATTGAAAAAATTATAAATACGAAGACAGAACTGTGCAACTATACTATCATGTCTATTTTTTAAACTAATCATTTTGTCTCTTTTATTCAATATACATGTGCTTTCTAACCTTGAAAATATTTTACAATTTAATCTTAATATATGAACATGGAGGATTTTCTAATGCAAGAAATGCCTTTTATTGTTTTATTAAATAATCGTGTACACTTAACATCTTTTTATTTTTTTTTTTTTTGGTTTTTACTTATTTTATCAACAGTTCTTCTGCAAAATGTTTGTTGATTGAGTTTTATTTATCTTAGTGAAATGACCGAGATATTCACATTGTATACTTAATTATTTGTTATGAGCCTCAAAGTCAGATACCGTGATTGTGATTGCTTGAACTTAACAATTTTGTACTTTGAAGATAATGCTCTCGGTTCAGGGCTGAAGTGTTAACTCATAAGATTTGTGAACAATAATCTTTTATTCTTCGTTATTTAAATGCCAAAAGATCTCATGTATATAGCTTTTGTTTGAAAGAAAAAATTCAGAGTACAAAAGTTTGTTTACAAAATTACTTACTATAGTATATACATTAAGGTGATCTTGAGATATAATTGCCTATACTTTATTTGTAGCTTTTAACATAGTTAGTCTTTCTTTTTCTACACTTTTGTTTGGTTAGATTTTTGAAGTGAATGATAATTGAATGTAAAATAGAAACGATGAAAAATACAAACATGATTAATATTTTTTGTTTTAATTAATCCTCATGTGGTTGTGTTTAAGAATGTATTTTATCTTACACATACTGTAATGTGGCTTGACTTTTTCTTTTTCTTTATGTACCCTATTTACCTACAGTTTCCTCTATTTTTTTTTATCCTTTATAAATAATTTGAGGTGATATAATATGTGACAATGTTGACTAACAGTTTGCTCCATCACAATAATGCTAAAAGCTATATATGTAGTTACGTTTTAATTTCACAACAGCTTGTGCCAAGGATTTCAAGGATGGGCTAACCAATGATTCAATCACGGCATCGCTGAAAGCTCTAAAATCTCCATACAAATAATAACTGAGTCGTTTTCTGAATTTTTAGATTCATTCTCTTCGGAGATATACATAAAATAATAACACAGCTGGACAATAAAACATATGGTGATAACAAAGGGTATTAAAGCTCAAAAGGCAAACAATACGAAATTAGGAGCAGAGCAAACATTGACCTCTTAAGCATAAGGTGGGATCAGGGGCAATCATCCCCAACTGCCGATCGGTCACACCTTCTCTGTGCTTCTTGGCATGATCAGAAGTTGACAAGAAATCCGTCGCCATCCCCGTGTGTAAATGATGGTCAAATAATTAGTATGAAAAATGGGAGCCGGCATTTGACAAAATGATAAATGTTATTTGCTCACAGTATCATTGTATCGACCAAATAGTATTGCAAAATGAAAACCTTAAAGCGAGACTTGTTACTTTTTAGTCTCAGTAACTTCTTTGTCAATAAATAACCTTATTTTTGATATTGTTCATAGGTACATCATGCTCTTGCGTATCCTAATGAACTTGGAAAAATAAACTTCATTTACAATTGTAAAGGGTATAATGCTGCTTATATAAGGGAAGCTAAAATCATCACTTTCATCATTAAGCTTTGATGATAGATTTACCATTACAGTCCTTATATAGTTAAATATCTTGTTTTTCAATTTTTTTAAAAAACAATTTCTAGCATACTTGTATGTAAACTCCTTTTCAATCAAGAAATATCACATTGAAAACTCTCTATGAAAGGTATTTCATCATAAATAGCTGAATGATTCGGGATGTAGGGGTTGATAACCACTTTTTCTTATTTAAAAAAGAAAGTGTATTGCTAATTTTTTTTTTAAATTAAAATACAAATAAGTATAAGTTTAAATTATATGCTAATGAACAGTAATGACAGCCTTTTGTAAGTTGGTGCAAAAATCTTCGCTATCACGATTTAAATTCATTCAAATTTTTACAATCGTTCTTCTAAATCTGATAACCTTTTTTTTTTACCAATGTATTCCAGTAGTAATCTTTCATTAAAATTTCTAAACCTTGTGTCTTTGACAGAACTGGGTTCATTATTGCTAAACATTGCGTCTTTAAGAACTTTAACAGGTCAACATTAATTCTATTCTTTAATTATAGAACATTAATTCTGACAATGGTTCGGATATAATACAAAAAAAGATGCTGTGGATGGATTTTATATTAACGGATGAAGTCTAGCTATGTCGCTTTATGAAATATGCCTACGTGACAAGCATTGGAGAATTTTTTTAACCAAAACACGCACAGATAAAAAATATAATAAAAAATGTGTAAAATTATCTATCAAACAATATAATTTTGAGTCAGTTTTCTCCATGATGTATTGTTTCCTGTTCACCTGTTGCAATTTTAAATGCTTAAATACAATTGAACTGTTGTTATATAAAGAATGCTTCCAAAGTTTAATTTAGTTAAAGCAAATCTGAAAGAAGTAACTTTGTAGCCTCACACAGAAGTTGAATAAATCTGAACATTTTCCAACTGTTTGAAACAGAATGGCAATAATCCACATTTTTGCCCTGTCTCTATTGTTTGTTCTACAAGCCTCCTGCAAAGAATGCAAAACTCAACCCTGCTTAAGGAGGCTCTACAACTCTAGAGTCACAAGGGCAGAGTACTGGATAAGGTAAAAAATTTTAACTTGTTTCTTCAAAGTGTTAGTTGTGAAATGTTTAAATTTATCTATTTGGCCTTTAACGTCAATCATTAATTATGTACTATTTATTAAAATCAAATCCTCAATTGCAACTGGTATTTAAAAGATTTTACTATAATGAAATAAAAAAAATAACGTTTGAAGACTTTATCAATGTCACAGTTTTCATTTCATGGTAAAACTGTTCATCTCAGAGGAAAATGTACCTATAAAATATAGAATAGCAAGTGTTAATCCACACAAAACATGTTGGCAAACTGGCAAGTTTTGACAAAAGCTTGCAATTGCTGTTTTATTGGTGGGAAGTACTTTATAAGTTCATTAATGTAATTGCAGCGTTGTCAATGAAATTAGAGTAGCTGAACTTATTTGGAAAGATAACCATTTGTCATATCCCACTTCCATATAATAATATATATATTTTTAATTTAGACCCTTGAGTGGATCGGGAAGTTCCGGAAGCTCGGGACCCTCTAGCGGAGGCGGTGGTTGGTGGCGAGGGAAGAGAAGCTTTGACTATTACTTGCGCCATGCTGGAGTTGTCGTTACTGTCGAGAACGGGGATCGGTGGTTAATCCACAAGGGGTCGGATTATGGCGATTCGTCAGACACAGTGATCACAGATGCTGGATATATGTCGAGACAGTAAGTTTTTCAAATTTTAATTATTTGCAATGCATTTTAAAGACTCGTAACATTTTTGCAACATAATGTGTCAAATAAAGCGGTACAGTTCAATGCAAATTTTAAGGGCACCAAGATGTTTGAAAGGATTTTGTTAACATGAGAGCAAATAAAATGAATGGATGTATTATTTCTAAAACCTAAATTGTATTCTTGTTGTCCTTTTCCACCCATCTTTATCAAATAGATAATGATCATTTTTCAGTAGAGATTCTGAAGATTTCCATGCTTAGGAGGCATGGGAGACATTTTTCGAACATTCTTGGATAGTCTTTCTCTCGTAATTTCTAAGATTTTCTTAACGTTTTTTAAAAATATAGAGCCGCGCGGCAAATTGGTAAAAGATTTGCTTGAGAAGCAAAGAACAAGTATCTGATCCTTTCTTGGCGGACCTGTTGCTTGGGAGTTAATTATTAAAGTTAATTGTACGTTTTATACAGATGGAGTCAACTGAAGTCCAAGTCTCTCAGTAGATGTAGTTATACCGTGAACATGTTCATGCAGAATGCTCTGATCTCCAAACCATACAAACTGATCGGAGCCAACTGTCAGACAGCAGCAAACAAAATGTGGGATTTGGTGAAGAGATGTTAATAAAGCCAACTGGAAGTGTGTTCATACATAGAATATACTTCTAGAATCAAATATTGATATTCAATAAAATCTGCAAAGTTCTTTTAGGGTTGTTTTTTTTTAGGTGTGACCTTTAGTAGAAGAAGTGATGTTTAAAAACCCATCAAGAATATCAGGTCATTGATTTAAAAATAATAATGGGGGTCAGCAGCTTGTATACAAGCATTTAAATTTACCTGATTATATTATTTTGTCTACCATATAAACAGTCCATCACTGGGTATACTTTCCCAGAACCAACGAGAAGAATTTTGAATTAGAAAACCGGAGAGTGTCCATGGGTACCATTGTAACCCGTTATTAGCATACCTATTTTTTGTGCATATGAAGCAGATTAGGAAATAACAGAAAGATTCGAAAAATATAGTTATAGCTCCACCTACTCAGAAGTTATGGACAAGTTAAAAGTTTTTGCAGACAAACAAATTGCCAATAGATATTTGGACAACCGAAAGACAGACAGACCGCCACACATACAGACGGACGGATAAGGCAAAAAGTATATACCCCGAATCATCTATTATGGGGACATAATAAAAAAAATTACTTTTATGGTATTTAAATTATACTATTTATAAATTAGAAACATTTTAGCT